CCATCAGTTGCCCTGGCGGTATGGACCCGGCAGGGCAACCGATTGGGGGGGGGGGGGCACAAAAGGGACAGCAACATTAAAGCGTCAGCCACAGCAGCACTTTAAAGTCAGCGGTAGGGGCCAGTACTGGCGGTTATTTTTTCCCCGTACCACCTTACGTTCACCCCTGGATCACATGGAAATGAAGCGGACTTTAGAAGCTCACATTAAGGGCTTACAATGAAGGTAACTTTTAAACAACTGACCGAGTTCTTGCATCCCTGCAGAAGACAGGATAACGGTGCTGACCCACCTTTGTCTAACACGGAGGTGTGTGGATTAAGGAATGCTATAGTAATGCTCAGGGCCAGCTCCAGGCACCAGCCCAGCAAGCTGGTGCTTGGGGCAGCACATGGAAGGGGGCGGCACATCTGGCTCTTCGGCGGTGGGTCCCTCAGTCCCTCTCGGCGGGAAGGACCGACCGCCGAATTGCCGCTGAAGAAGCGGCAGCGGTAGAGTCGCGGCGGAAGTGCCACAGGTCGCAGTTTTGTTTTGTTTTTTGGCTGCTTGGGGCGGCAAAACCCCTGGAGCCGGTCCTGGTATTGCTAAGCAGCAGCATTGAAGATTCATTTTTGGTGCAGCAAAACACACTGGCCAATATATCTATAGCTAAAGTGATGCTGACGAGCTAGTAATAAAATGGTCATTCCCCGTAATCTGGAGCCTTTCCTCATCCTTTCTTTCTGGTTTATTTGTAGGACAGTAGTGGTGTCCCAAATAGGCAAGGTATTGTAAATAAAGATAGGAAGACTGTCCCTGCTCCAAAGAACTTGCAAACTAAAGAGATCTACAAACAGAGGCAGCGTAGGGCAAAGCATGAAACCTACAAAGTAGTCAAGATGATGGTTGGCACATGGCATGAGAGCTCCATGTCATAGCATATATAATGAAAACATCTTTACTATATATATCCTTCCTGTATACATAGAATGGACCAGATGTGCCACATCCCTCTTTAGGCAGTATTCTATAATACAAAACAACTACTAAGTCCACAACCCTGATCAGGACCCCATCGTGCTAGGGATTGTGTACACACACACACACACACACACTCTCTCTCTCTCTCTCTCTCTCCCCCCCCCTCCGAACCCGAAGACTTACAATCTAACCAGACGAAGAAACAGGAAGGAGGGCAAAGAGAGGGGAAGTGATTTGCCCATGGTCACACAGCAGGTCAGTGGCAGATCCAGGAAGAGAACTAGATTTGCCAACTCCCAGTCCAGTGCTCTATCCACTAGTCCAAACTGTGCTGTTCACTTTGTGCCACTGTGGTGCGACAGACACAGAAGCCATCTGGATCTCCTTCTCAGTGGGGATAGAGGCAACATAACAATCCTAAGCACCTCTCTTCCTGCCACCTCTAGCACAGCAAGCTTGTCGTGGGCAGTGTGGAGAGGAGCAGACCGGGGCATGCTGTGCTCTGGCTATCCCCATTTGGCAGACTGTCTCTTGGGATCCTTCGCTAGCTGGTATAAATTAGTGCAGCCAACAGGCTCTTCTAAAACTTCAGACGGCTCCAGGATCAAGGAACTGTAACCAGCTCCCTTGTCTTTCTCCCTCACCCCTACCTGAAGCTAGCAACTGAGAATCAAGACGAATATATTGCTAGTATTTTCACACCGACTCCGTGCAACGCACAAACAGCTGCTCTCTTCCTGTGGCTCCAGGACACGTACGTAACAATACATTTACCTTTTACTCTCTGAAAATTATAACTGATCACCACCACATTCCCAAAGCAAAGAGGATTTGCTGCCGAGGCTGTTTTGCTGCCAATACCCTGGTCCTGCCTTGCTGATTCCATTCTGCCTTTCCAGTAATACAAGGCATTTATCAAATTAGGATTCTCAGGAAATGCAAGGGATCCAGCAGTCTATATTTAGCAACAACAACAAAAGAACAGCACAATCAGCTGACTGGAAGCTGTTAGCCTGATGCACAGTCCAGTTTTAGACAGCATAATCTTCCGTCTTGGAAACAAGGAGAGAAAGGTGCTGAAAACTGAAGATTAGAAATACAGCCAGCTATAAAAGAGAGAAAAAATATCCAGGTAAGGAAAAAGGAGGGTGCCTCAAAAGCTGGAATTGAAATAGATCCTTTGTCTGGAGTGCTGCTTAAATGGGATCACAGCCATTAGAGCTTGTGAATCTTCAGGGATCTCAAACACAGGGGAGCCCACATATCTGTAGGTTCAGTAGGTATTGCTATTCCCACCCTGCACCTAGCCAGGGGACTAGGTGGGTCACAGGGCCTAACCCTGTCACATGGCCTCTGCGTGGCTTTCTAGCACCGCGGTGCTGATGTGATCTCAGCTGAATTCTGTCTGAGTTCAGCCAGGTCAGACAGATCTGTGAGAGTGTGCAGAGGAGGGGAAGCCCCTAAAAACAGTATAGTGGCTGCATTGGCTTGGGCCAGCCCAGAGTATCCCGCACGATTCCCTGGGTAAGTACATGGGTGGCTAGCCCAAGCCGCTGCCCGTGCCACCCCACCCTGCTATTTTTAGGGGGTAGCTGGAGCAGAGCTAGTGCATCTGTCTACCTGAGCTGGGAAGTGCACCTCTCAACTGCTGTGTAGATGTACCGCAAGTCTGAAATCAACCCACTGCCATTTGAAGGTTTCATTGGAAATACATAATTGGATTGTTGTTTGCTCTGGGAGAAGGGGCCATGTGAGCAAGAAAGGAAGTTAATGGGAGTTGCAGGTACCCAGCCCCTTTGAACACCAGGCCATTCCTCTAGGTGCCCAAGTACACATTGGGATATTTAACTCGAAAACACCCACTTTTGGACTGCTGGGCCCTGATCCTGCTATCACGGACACTGATGGCAACACACCGACGGGAGCAAAAATCAGGACCTAATTTTCTTGCCTAGAGGCTTTAAAAAAGAGGAAGAGTAGATGGAAAAGAAGGGAAGTAAAAAGCAAACCTAACACCTGCTTTAAACAGATGGGATTTATTTTAAATTCAACAATTTCTGGGCTTGGTTTACTTTTCTGGTTGTATCTAAGGGCAGGTCTACACTACTGCTTAAGTCGATCTAACTTGCATCGCTCAGGGGTGTGAAGACACACCCTGAGCAATGCAAGTTACAGCGACCTAAGCGCTGTCCACACCTGCGCTATGTCAGCGGGAGACGCTCTCTCATCAGCATAGAGCGTCTTCACCAGATGCGCTACAGCCGTGCCTATGTAGCACTACTAGTGTAGACCTGCTCTAAGATAAAAACCAGGAACAGAGCAGAGCAGAAGGGAGAGTACACAGCAATTTCTACACTGGGTGCTGAGTATGAACAGATTGTTTGCATTTTATACGTGGTCAACTTGCTGTAGAGGTTCAACAAAGCCCAGATTTATTTCCGGCAATCAAGAAAATGATATATGCATATAAATACCTAATTATGCACATAAGCATACAGTGGAGTTTGTACCATTCTGACTGAGTATTCTCACACAAGTCTGATGAAGGGAGCCTGGGAAACTTAAATTCATAACTCTACTAGACACTGAAAACCATGGACTCAGAGACACTGATTTTATGGCTCATTACAACAATTTGTAATACACCTCACTGCCTGCTAACCTTTAACTACCCACTTCATTTTAAGTGGGCTCCTACAGCATGTGAGGGCCCCTTAGGCTGAATAAGCTGTTCCAACTTGTATTTAGCTAAGACACTCTGGTTACTTCCCCAGATCCGAAGAAGAGCTCTATGAAGCTTGAAAACTTGTACCTTCCACCAACAGAAGTTGGTCCAATAAAAGACATTATCTCACCCACCTTGTCTCTCTCGTAACTGTGTTTTCCCCAGGATATAACACTGCAAACAATTTAGAAGACAGTCAAGCACTGGATAAAGGGCATAATATGATCATTTCTGCCAGAAAATACTTTAAACCAATAAACAAACTGGAAACAGCACTCTGAGAATTGAAACAATCCTTAAGATTTTATGCTAGTTGATAAACAATTCCCACTGACGTGGGTGGGAGCAGTGCAGGAGCCCCGAACATCAAGAACTGCATGTAATACTCATATTGTGATGGGCCTACATTTTATTCCCCTTGCATCTGCATAAGCAGAGCAGCATTACATTTATTTATACAACCACCGGAACAGATGAATGTGAGGACATTTTTGCACCATCATGTACCTTATTTCTGAGCCTTATGGAAAAGCTCAAACATAATGTCCATTGAATATCAGCTATTTCCCCTATTAACTAGGGCCCAATCCCACACTTTTCTCAGGCGAGCCACCCAGTTATACTGCACTGCACACAACAGGGGAGCGAATGAGTAAGGACAGTAGGCAGGAGCCCCCATTAGGCCTCTGCTGATAATCGTGCTCCTCCAAAACTCACTGTACTAGAATGATATTGTGCAAATCTGTGGATTGTTTAGGTGTTTTTCCCTTGCATTGTTTTAGAAAGGAACAAAGTTACTGCCAGGGATTTCAGCTGCGTAAGCTTCTTTATTGAATTGTTTTTCCTTGACCAGGTCTGAGTAATCAATCATGTGGTATATTTTGTTTTCTGAAACCCTTGAAATAAAGATTTAGTAACGGTATTGCTCTAAAGTTCCCAGGTACACTACTGCTTACTTCTTGACTACAACAGGGGTGGGGGAGAGAGAGGGAGAGAGGTCATATGAAATTTACAGAAATGCCAGAGTTCCTGTAACATAGCGGATCATTTTCATATACTAATAACATCGTGTATATTCTTTGCAGCAATGGCACCCCGCATACGACTGACTATATCAAAGCCTCTCCCAACCATCTGTGAAACCCAGGAGGAAGTTTTAGAAGATGTAACCAGCAATGCAAAAGGCTTTGGGAGCTTCTCTATCGACTCAGATTCTTGTTCCAGTGACGACTACCTTCAATCTATCTGTCATTTAGCAAGACCCACCTTCCCAGTGCTTCCTGAAAACGGTGTGTTTCAAGACAAGAAGGTATTAGAAACACTCCAAAGAGTGTCCTGGTTCCCAAAGCTGGCAGTGGCACAGCAAGTCATTCCAAAGTGCAAACTGACCAACATCTTCTCAGACATGATGTCTTTAGAAAAAATTAGCTTAGTACTTGACAATGCAAAGCTATACCCCTGTACCAGGGCTGATCCACTAGAACAGTTGTACGCGCAAGCGGAGAAGACACGACACTACAGGGGTTCTGTTTATGGTGAAAGCTCTAGCACTGATGACTCACAGCATAGGGGGGATGAAATTCATCCATCCACCCCTCAAGAAAAAACAACAGAAAAACAAGATCTAGCTGGGGTATTCCGTTTTCCAAGGCTTCCCTCTCCAAGACCAACAGAGAGAGAAAATAGCTGCCCAGAGCAGAAGTGTCTGATAAGCAATAAGATAATGGCTGTTTCTGAAAATGATCAAACTCAGAAAGAAAACTGCACCATATTTATTGATGGTAAACGGATATGGCCACACCCACCCAGAGAGAAACAGCAAGGAAACAAGGGTTTGAGCTGCCCCCTACGAAGACAATGTGCTGTGTTCAGAACAGCAGGTGGCACTGAAAAAGAAGAAGAGCTGAAATCTTCTAGCGATAACAAAACTGTGAAGGGAGAGGTTCTTAATAAGCAACGTTACCCACAATGCTTTCAGGTAGATAAAAAAGCCATGATCCATAGCTGGATCTCGGAGTGCAAGTGTGCCTGGAAAGGAGCAAAGGTTAAAGGTTGCCTACTTCCTGCCATCGCAGAAATATGAAAACGTGATGCTGAGTAGCTGCATCTTTTGCAAGACATTGTGGCCACGGCTGTCTTAAATCCCTCCCTGCTACCTGCATGCGTTGTGCAGAGAAGAGGGGTGCAGTATACATGTTTACAATGAAGCAGATACATTTGTGATCCATTACATCTCTCACCTATGTGCAAACAGGCAATAGATCTACTAACGTGGCTATGCTTTAAAAAAAGGAGAGCTCTAAAGACCGAACTATTGAGTCGGCTCTCAGATACGCAGGCATTTGTAACAGCTTCTCTCCTTGGCTCAGCAACTCCTTTTGCACATGCCTGTCTTGTGCTCTGAGAACGGCTGTAATAATACGGGTTTCAGGGTAGCAGCCGTGTTAGTCTGTATCCTCAAAAAGAACAGGAGTACTTGTGGTACCTTAGAGACTAACAAATTTTTGGTATGATGTCCATCTGCTTGCATTTGGAAAGGAAGATGATGTCTGTCTGTATCTGTTAGTCTCTAAGGTGCCACAAGTACTCCTGTTCTTTTTGTAATAATACGTGTCTCTACATCAGAGATGGAGACATCAGTCAGGTACATTAAACAGGGGAAACAGCTGTTTAGAAGTGGGATGTGTAATCTGTAGGAGCATCAAGCCAATGGTGGTTTACAGCACATGCCAAAATTGGCACACGTCACACCCCTGGATGGATTCACTCTGCAAGGAAACTCCTGCAGGATGCTTAGACAGCACTATATGTGCTTTTTGACACAAGTGCAGGTTCGGGAAGAGGCTGGTCAGCCTCACTGCTAACTTCTCATTTGACAGCTGGCGGGTTAAACATTTCAACATGTAAATGCTCTAAAAATGATGCGGTCTCATTGATAAACTCAATCCATTAGCATGCGAGGTGGAAAATACAAAAACCTCCTTGGGCAGAATTCTCCTCGTGCGTACCCCAGTGTGGCTCTGTTAACTTCACTAGAAGCATGTTTGATTTAGGCTGGCAAGGGAGGAGAATCAGACACTCTGTGTGTAGCAGCTTGTACAGTAACATGCCAGTGCTTGTCTTGTGATGCTATTATTGTAGTTTAGTGAAAACTGTCTGCTTTTTCACTGCTATTACAGACTCAAGTGAATTTCCAGCAGCCCAGGCAGGGCCGGCTCCAGGCACCAGCCGACCAAGCACGTGCTTGGGGCGGCACCTTGTAAGGGGCGGCCAATCTTCGGGTGCTGGGGCGGCACTCTGGGGGGCGGGGTTTGGTTCAGCGGGGCAGCGCTCCAGGTTTTTTTGTTTGTTTCAGCCGGGCAGTCCTCGGGGGTTGTTTGTTTCGGCGGGGCGGAGCTGAGGGGTATTGTGTTTTGACAGGGCAGGGTGGCACTCGGGGGGGGGGGGGTT